AGAAAACTGTTAAAGGTGGAAGTGACGAAAGGATTCCAATTTTGATAGGCGAATGTGTACTAACTACCCCAAACAAATATTTTGAAGGTATTCACCGCATTCTGTACATTTTCAGTCACATTTGAATTATCAAAAAACAAGAAACCCATAATGGTAGTAGATGGGTACAGGTTTTCTTTGCACTACTCTCGGAACTTGAAAGAACGCTGGCAGTGCAGCAGAAGAAGCTATTTTGGATGCAAAGCCGTCGTTCATATGGTAGAAAGCAGAGTAACATATTATAACATATCTCACAACCATGGACCGTAGAATTCTGCCCAATGAGAGTGCAATATTCCTTCAATAATTCTTTGGTAGCATAATCTTCTCTGTTTTTTACGGCCACAAATTTAATTGCTACCCAAATATAAGACGCCGTTGTGTCTTTGTCTGTCACCATTATCCTTTGATGAAATGTAACAAAAGAATAACGATTCCTTTTAATATAAGAAAAAATTACTTTGAAACTTACCAGTTTCATCAATAATCCAATTTAAACTTTGTCAAAAGTATTTAATAATCAGCTGTGAAAATGTAACATCGCTACGCAAATTAATTTTAACTTAACAATAAATACATTCTAAGGTTCACTCAGTGTTTCAATTTTTACACTACGTAGAAGCATCATGTACATTGAAAAGTTATTAAAAATATTAACAGTGTTATTGTTTAATTGAGAAATTGTCAACAGCTTGGGCGAGCCAGGTATCATTTGGTGCACGAAACTTAACAAATAAGCGGCAAATACATCAAGATAAGCTCTGTCCAGTTTGCGGTGATACAGTTAGCGGCATCCACTATGGGGTCCACACGTGCGAATCTTGCAAGTGTTTCTTCAAGAGGGCTATATCTTACAAGAAGTCTGAAATGTATAAATGCGCTTTAAGTAGCGAGTGTCCAATAAGTCGCAAGTCGAGGTTTTGCCAGTTTTGTAGGTTTAAGAAATGTGTTAAAATTGGTATGAATGCTAACTTAGTTAGACTGAAGAAGGAAAGAGGTGGCCGAGCTAAAATATATTCAAACTAAAGATAATTTTGATTTTAAAGAAACGAAGAAGTTTAAAGGAGAATTTAAAAAGTTGGTTTTATATATGTAGGTATATACTTTTGTTAATAGAATCTCAGCTAAAATAGCAGCTATGTATATACAGTGAGTAAAATACAAGTATAAACGTAGATACCGAAATGATGTCTTGGTGGTGGTAATGATCTTACCTACATTATATATTTTGTATGTATGTGTTTACGTATTATTAAAAAACCATAGTCTGTATTTAAATAGATATGATTATTTCGCCATAAAATAAAAAAAAAAATACTTTTAAAATCTAGTGTACTAAATCTACTCTTGTATTCAAAATTTTAAAAAGTGCTAAAGGATAACAAGAAAAAGCGAAACTGGTAATTATGATAAAGTAAATTGTCGTAGGTATTAAACAACACATATTTTCATAGTCGCAATACTACCAATTTTACAAAAATACATTATAATTATAGCTTAGTTTGCAGTTATTTAGAATTGGTAAGTCAGAAAAATACATAGGTTTAAAATGTTTCAAGGATAAAGACTAAGAAAGTGCCCGTACAATGCATGTTACATAAGTGCCTTTTGTCAGATGGTGGAGCTTTTTTGTGAATTATAGCTCTGAACAATATATTGGAAAATATTGAAGATATCTCAAATAACATCTCTTACCAGACTGACGATTGTTAAATGAATTCTAGCTATTAATCAAATAATCATTCATTTAGTCAGTCATTAATTCAATGTAGCATTCTACAAAGTACAGTTGATATGATTTTGTAGTCACTACTTAAATGACTAGTAAATTAGTTACAATAACTATATTCCTTTGGTGAAGGGCTGCTGCCTCTTAACTTTGTATATAACTATATTTGTATTTAACTTTGTATATATTATATGTTTTAAATTTCAAATGATTGGCGTTATGTAACTGTCCCAAATGGCTAACGTCCATAGCCTACCTACTTTACGTATAGGGTACCGACTTAGGTTATGATGTTTTAAAAGTTTTTAAGGTAGATAAGTATACGATTTCCTTCCTTTCTTTTCATCCTTCGCACTTTGGATATCTTGGACTATTATTAGTTGAATTTCATCATCATCATCATCATCAGACGGGTTGGTAGTGTGTGTGTCAAATTTTCTTTCTCTGTGCAGTGCTGTTGTCCTGCGTAGTTTGCTCCCTTAATCAGTTTTTACAACACTCACGGGATAAATATGGGTGCTGACACTCCGTATTCTTAATCTGTCACCACACCGTTGGATTAAAAAAAGTAAAACCGTACTTAGGTATTATAAAATGTGTTTAGACAAAAGTGTTCATAATTTTAAGCATAATGTAAACTTAAAAACATGAGTTGACGATAGTGTATTGTGTATTTTAAATTATAATAGGTACATGAAATGATTCACATATCTTAATAGGTTACCATAATACTTAGGACAATGTTGTTTTGTTTAAATGTTTTAATGTAGAATGGAATATTTTATTTACCTATAATTTCTTAAGATGTGCTTAAAGCATCTTGGCGAACACAATAGATTTGTAATGACATGCTGCGTTTAAATATTTCTTAATATGTACCAACATGAATTACATTGAAAACACGTATTTAATTAAAAACGTTATTTAATATATTGTAATTAGTATAATAAAATCTACGTTACCAAAGTAATTTGTTTGAATCTTCTTTTGATAACTTGTAATAATCAAGGTTAAACAAAATGATTTTCTTACAGTTAATCAGTTCCAGAAAAGGTTTTCCAGTTTTTTCTGTTACATACATATTAAATAGAATTATAGAGTAGTTTCTACTTGAAGACCTTGGTGTAGGCTTTTTATATAACCGATTGTCACATTAATAGGTATACCAGGAAAAGTATACCACCAGAGGGCAGCCATACATTCAACAAGTTAATGCGAATACAATTCAACAAATATCTCTAACTAGCTGACCCGCGCAACTTCGTCTGCGTCTCTCAATAGTAATAAATTTTCTCCGTTTTTGAAACATTCTTCATTGGTGCTCCGCTCCTATTGGTCTTAGCGTGATGATATATAGCCTATAGCCTTCCTCGATAAATGGGCTATCTAACACTGAAAGAATTTTTCAAATCGGACCAGTAGTTCCTGAGATTAGCGCGTTCAAACAAACAAACAAACAAACAAACTCTTCAGCTTTATAATATTAGTATAGATACACTTAAGACTACTTTGTTTTTTTTCATAAACATAATTTAACCCATTTTATATTTCCAGCATCTTATTACTCATGTCCAATATGTGGCGATGTCCCGTCCGGTATACACTATGGGATCCGTACTTGCGAATCTTGCAAGCTGTTCTTCAAAAGAACAATTCAATTGGAGAGGGAAAACGCCTATTTCTGTACTGCCAATATGAATTGTAGAGTCACCATACAGACAAGGGCGTGGTGTAAGCTTTGCAGGTATAATAAATGTTTAAACTCTGGAATGCAACCAGCGTTAGTTACGAAGAAAAAAATATATTTACACGGGAATGTGTAATATTGTACCACTTTTGTCTAGAATATAAATAAAATAATTATGGTGAAAATTTTGTTGTAACTGTTCAATAATAATTATTAATGACTTAATGAATAATAATTATTATCAAACGCATTTAAAATTTGCGGTACTATTAATAAAACTGGCTTTGGTGCCAAATCTTCTTGTTTTGAGACTGCCGATTTTAATAAATTGTAATTTTAATGTAATGAATTTCAGGCCTTTTTATACGGTTTAATATAAAATAAGTAGTTAGTTGATCTTTGAGCAATATAGTTATAAAATTTTAAAATAACTTTTACGGTTTTATAACATTTATTTGTAGTCATTTAGACAACTTAAGTTGAATGCAATAATATCCGTGCAATAATAACCGTGAGAGAGCCATGCTTTGGCACGAATGGGCCGGCTTAACCGGAGTGATACAGAAAAAAACACAGAGCCTCACAGAAAACCGGTGTTCAGCAATTCTTTCGTTACCTTTCACTGAGTGAGTGAGGTTACCTGAGCCCAAATCCCTCCGCCCGCTGACTCGAGCGGGAGGGGCTCTTAAGGGCGGTAACGCACTTGTGACTTTTGAGTTGCAGGTGTCCATGGGCGGCGGTAGTTGCTTACCATCAGGTGACCCGTCTGCCACCTATACCAGAAAAAAATATTGGCAGCATTTATAATTTCACAAACAGCCAATTTTAACATAGATTTCCGGATGCTAATTTGTCTATTAGTTTTGTTTTATTGGATTATTGGTGGACACTGAAATTTCAATTTCTACATTTAAGTGACTAGTGCAAGTTTCGTAGTCACTTGCATTGATGTTGATTGTAACTTGAATGAAAGTAAAAGAGCTTAAAGAATCTATTGTTAATTAGGCTCATTCATATAACTAAGAAGACTAATCCTATTAAGGTTATATAAATCGAAATGATATTTAACGCAAGTGAATGCTTACAAAACTACCACTAGTCACAGCAAGGTCTATTTTTACGATACTATATAAAGTTAAAGTTTGTATAAATATTAAGGAACTTGAAAACAAAATGTCTGCTGTTGCCTTGTTACCTTTTTTATGGATTTCTATTTTTATCTTTTTGGCCTAAAAGGTTTTACTTAAATTTTTAAGACTTAAATGTTTACATTGACTGTGATTTGTAAGTATACCAACATTTTTAAAGTTTGTTGAAAATGTAGTTTAAATATATATTAAAACCGTTTGAATTAATTTAGTTGAATGGAAATCATAAAATACTATTCTGGTGCATTTGAAAATGCCAATAGATCGGTCTACATAGAGCAAGCTGCCTCGCGAGCCATTTCCCGAAACTGTCCGCGAATGAGCGCGACTGCTGCTGCATGGCAGAAAAATACAGTATCTCTTTTGCATTTCAAAACAATATAAATCAAAGATTGAAATGCTTGAGCGAGACACTAAACAAAAACGTGTGCGTCAAGAGTGCGCGCGGCAAATGGCTGAGGCGTCTTTAAGCAAAACAAAAAAACAACACTCGTTTGTTCGGCCGCTTGGTCGCGCCCGTGGCAGCGAGCGCGCTTTCCTTAGCCGAGGAACGTCCACACAGACTGAACAGCTTCGCGTGGCAAATACTCCGATGTTGCTCGCTCAGTGTGGACCCGGCTATTATTGTAGCAATATTGCAAATATTATTATAGAAATGTCTAAAATAAAGCGACAGTTTAAGAATTTATTTCATCAAACTATATCCCAGTAAATAAATATACATCAATTTAACCGATAGTAAAGTTTAAGATTTATAGGTAGCTATTATCGAAAGTAATAAAATAATAATAATTAGTTTAAGTTAAATCTTTGTGCAATGAAAAGTAAGAAATATTTAAGAAGTTCAAAAGGAAAACAAGAAAAAGCGAAACTGGTAATTATGATAAAGTAAATTGTCGTAGGTTTTAAACAACACATATTTTCATAGTCGCAATACTACCAATTTTACAAAAATACATTATAATTATAGCTTAGTTTGCAGTTATTTAGAATTGGTAAGTCAGAAAAATACATAGGTTTAAAATGTTTCAAGGATAAAGACTAAGAAAGTGCCCGTACAATGCATGTTACATAAGTGCCTTTTGTCAGATGGTGGAGCTTTTTTGTGAATTATAGCTCTGAACAATATATTGGAAAATATTGAAGATATCTCAAATAACATCTCTTACCAGACTGACGATTGTTAAATGAATTCTAGCTATTAATCAAATAATCATTCATTTAGTCAGTCATTAATTCAATGTAGCATTCTACAAAGTACAGTTGATATGATTTTGTAGTCACTACTTAAATGACTAGTAAATTAGTTACAATAACTATATTCCTTTGGTGAAGGGCTGCTGCCTCTTATCTTTGTATATAACTTAGCAAAAAAGCGCCCTTATATGTTTTAAATTTCAAATGATTGGCGTTATATAATTGTCCCAAATGGCTAACGTCCATAGCCTACCTACTTTACGTATAGGGTACCGACTTAGGTTATGATGTTTTAAAAGTTTTTAAGGTAGATAAGTATACGATTTCCTTCCTTTCTTTTCATCCTTCGCACTTTGGATATCTTGGTCTATTATTAGTTGAATTTCATCATCATAATCATCAGACGGGTTGGTAGTGTGTGTGTCAAATTTTCTTTCTCTGTGCAGTGCTGTTGTCCTGCGTAGTTTGCTCCCTTAATCAGTTTTTACAATACTCACGGGATAAATATGGGTGCTGACACTCCGTATTCTTAATCTGTCACCACACCGTTGGATTTAAAAAAAGTAAAACCGTACTTAGGTATTATAAAATGTGTTTAGACAAAAGTGTTCATAATTTTAAGCATAATGTAAACTTAACCTGAGTTGACGATAGTGTATTGTGTATTTTAAATTATAATACATGAAAAGATTCACATATCCTAATAGGTTACCATAATACTTAGGACAATGTTGTTTTTTTTAATGTAGAATGGAATATTTTATTTACCTATAATTTATTAAGATGTGGTTAAAGCATCTTGGCGAACACAATAGATTTGTAATGACATGTTGCGTTTAAATATTTCCTAATATGTACCAACATGAATTACATTGAAAACACGTATTTAATTAAAAACGTTATTTAATATATTGTAATTAGTATAATAAAATCTACATTACCAAAGTAATTTGTTTGAATCTTCTTTTGATAACTTGTAATAATCAAGGTTAAACAAAATTATTTTCACACAGTTAATCAGTTCCAGAAAAGGTTTTCCAGCTTTTTCTATTACATACATATTAACTAGAATTATAGAGTAGTTTCTACTTGAAGACCTTGGCTTAGGCTTTTTATATAACCGATTGTCACATTAATAGGTATACCAGGAGAGGCCTGGGGGTGACAGGTGAGGCCATCTGTCACCCTAGCAGAAGCAGGCCGGGGTGGCGGCGAGCGCGTTGCGAAGCGCGCTCGCTTCCAGGGAGCACAGGGAACATGGGGTTCCCACACGGGGCGGGGGTCGTCTACTCGTCTGTAGATGACCCGAGGTATGTCGGGGCACCAGGGCCTTCCTTTCTAGGGTATACCTGGTTCCCCGGCTATTAGTACCCGGCGAAGGCGTGCGGTTTTAGTCGGTTCGAGTCCGACATGCCACCGACAGGTGGTATCCGAGGGGATTGCCGCACGGAAAAAAAAAAAAAAAAAAAAAAAAAAGGTATACCAGGAGAAGTATACCACCAGAGGGCAGCCATACATTCAACAAGTTAATGCGAATACAATTCACCAAATATCTCTAATACACTTAAGACTATTTTTTTTTTCATAAACATAATTTAACACATTTTATATTTCCAGCATCTTATAACTCATGTCCAATTTGCGGCGATGTCCCGTCCGGTATACACTATGGGATCCGTACTTGCGAATCTTGCAAGCGTTTCTTCAAAAGAACAATTCAATTGGAGAGGGAAAACGCCTATTCCTGTACTGCCTTACATATGAACTGTAGAGTCACCATACAGACAAGGGCGTGGTGTAAGCTCTGCAGGTATAATAAATGTTTAAACTCTGGAATGCAACCAGCGTTAGTTACGAAGAAAAAATTATATTTACACGGGAATGTGTAATATTGTACCACTTTTGTCTTGAATATAAATAAAATAATGATGGTGAAAATTTTGTTGTAACTGTTCAATAATAATTATTAATGACTTAATGAATAATAATTATTATCAAACGCATTTAAAATTTGCGGTACTATTAATAAAACTGGCTTTGGTGCCAAATCTTCTTGTTTTGAGACTGCCGATTTTAATAAATTGTTATTTTAATGTAATGAATTTCAGGCCTTTTTATACGGTTTAATATAAAATAAGTAGTTAGTTGATCTTTGAGCAATATAGTTATAAAATTTTAAAATAACTTTTACGGTTTTATAACATTTATTTGTAGTCATTTAGACAACTTAAGTTGAATGCAATAATATCCGTGCAATAATAACCGTGAGAGAGCCATGCTTCGGCACGAATGGGCCGGCTTAACCGGAGTGATACAGAAAAAAACACAGAGCCTCACAGAAAACCGGTGTTCAGCAATTCTTTCGTTGCCTTTCACTGAGTGAGTGAGGTTACCTGAGCCCAGATCCCTCCGCCCGCTGACTCGAGCGGGAGGGGCTCTTAAGGGCGGTAACGCACTTGTGACTTTTGAGTTGCAGGTGTCCATGGGCGGCGGTAGTTGCTTACCATCAGGTGACCCGTCTGCCACTATACCAGAAAAAAATATTGGCAGCATTTATAATTTCACAAACAGCCAATTTTAACATAGATTTCCGGATGCTAATTTGTCTATTAGTTTTGTTTTATTCTATTATTGGTGGACACTGAAATTTCAATCTCTACATTTAAGTGACTAGTGCAAGTTTCGTAGTCACTTGCATTGATGTTGATTGTAACTTGAATGAAAGTAAAAGAGCTTAAAGAATCTATTGTTAATTAGGCTCATTCATATAACTAAGAAGACTAATCCTATTAAGGTTATATAAATCGAAATGATATTTAACGCAAGTGAATGCTTACAAAACTACCACTAGTCACAGCAAGGTCTATTTTTACGATACTATATAAAGTTAAAGTTTGTATAAATATTAAGGAACTTGAAAACAAAATGTCTGCTGTTGCCTTGTTACCTTTTTTTTGGATTTCTATTTTTATCATTTTGGCCAAAAAAGTTTTACTTAAACTTTTAAGACTTAAATGTTTACAGGTAAATTAGCTTGGAGAAATTTTTGCGTTTGTAGTAGTGTATGCGTAAACTGGTTTATTCTGGTGCGTGTATCTTGTGCGTGTTTCCACTTTCCACTATCAAGTGACGATTTTTTGCTTTAGATTGAAATATCTCGGAAACGGTGCGTCCTAGGCCAAAAATAACAAAAATTTTGACCCCCCCGTAGACCCCCCGGAGTTTTATAAACCTAGATGAAAGGAAAGAAAATAAAAATTTAAATATCGGTCTCTCCTCTTTGAACGTTTCACTTCTATCGTATGTGAATCGCACACACACCTTTTTTTTTATAAAGTCAAAACCTTTTTCTTTAAAATAAAAACTTGTTTTTATTGAAAACAAAAATCAGAGTGTTGCTAGGGATAAGTATAAAATTAAATAGTAATGTTAGGATATCGAAACATTTTTGTATAGGCCAGAACGATATAGTGGAAACGCGCTCTAAGATCTGAGTAATATACACACCACTACATATGCAAAAATTGCTCGAGACTAATTTCACTGTACATTGACTGTGATTTGTAAGTATACTAACATTTTTAAAGTTTGTTGAAAATGTAGTTTAAATATATATTAAAACCGTTTGAATTAATTTAGTTGAATGGAAATCATCGGTCGGTCGGATCGGTCTACATAGAGCAAGCTGCCTCGCGTGCCATTTGCCGAAACTGTCCGCGAATGAGCGCGACTGCTGCGCGCGGCAAGCCCGAGCCATTTGCTCGTTCATTCAGTTGATAGTTAAAACATCATGGCAGAAAAATACAGTATCTCTTCTGCATTTCAAAACAATATAAATCAAAGATTGAAATGCTTGAGCGAGACACTAAACAAAAACGTGTGCGTCAAGAGTGCGCGCGGCAAATGACTGAGGCGTCTTTAAGCAAAACAAAAAACCAACACTCGTTTGTTCGGCCGCTTGGTCGCGCCCGTGGCAGCGAGCGCGCTTTCCTTAGCCGAGGAACGTCCACACAGACTGAACAGCTTCGCGTGGCAAATACTCCGATGTTGCTCGCTCAGTGTGGACCCGGCTATTATTGTAGCAATATTGCAAATATTATTATAGAAATGTCTAAAATAAAGCGACAGTTTAAGAATTTATTTCATCAAACTATATCCCAGTAAATAAATATACATCAATTTAACCGATAGTAAATTTTAAGATTTATAGGTAGCTATTATCGAAAGTAATAAAATAATAATAATTAGTTTAAGTTAAATCGTTGTGCAATGAAAAGTAAATGTATTTTATTTATAACGGGAAAAGACTTACTGTTTCCATTATAAAAATGTTTTTAATACAATTAAACATATACAATTATAAGCTTCTGGTTTTGTTGTTTCTCCAATCTACCCGAGTTGTTTCTCTTCTAATATATTAAATTAAAGAAAAACTATTCCATTCAAAATATTTCTGAATTCGAATCTTGTGTTACTCCTTGTTTCAGAAATGGTTGAGGAAGAGATTGTGCCTCG